ACTAGAAGAGATAATTGTTTGCTTTACTTCTTTATTTACTATTCTATATTTTAAGAAAAATAAGTTTAAGAACTTATTTCTAAATAATAATGAAATGTGACTGTATTTTACAAAACACTAGTCCATTAATACACAGCCAAAATAGGTCACTTTGTAAAGGCCAGTTTTCAATTCTTGGATACAGTAATATGAGTGCACGTGCACCGTGTCATTGCAACTTCTATACATGTAATGTTAGCCATGCATGGCTGAAAGGTCAATATAATAGAAATAATAAACATATATATAATGTTATGAGATTTAAGCTATTTAGACTAAACATTTGTATTTTTGTGTTGATAGAGAGATACAGTAGTGAAAATAACAGATCAAATATAAAGTTTTTTTCTAAAAAACATTTGATAATTATCTGGAGGTTACAAAGATTTCGCATGTGAAATTTGAAAATGTTCTGATGCATAGAAGTATTTTTAATCTTAAAATCAAAATTACTTTGCATGTTGGATAGTCAACCTTCAAAAAGAAAAAAGGTACAATAAAAACATTACATAAGAAATCTTAAAACTTAAAAAAATCTGCTTTTCTGTGTACAAAAGCTTTGTGATGTTTACTAATAATCTGCAAAATTTTGTAAAGATATGCATACATTATCAAAAATCATAGTATAATTACTCTCATGGATATTTTCATGGTTATGAGCTGGGTGGATCCTGCCCAACCCATAGTGGTAGGGTTAATGCAAGTCAAGTTATTCAATCTAATTTCGTAGAATAATTTTCCATCTTCATCCACTTTCCTTTTTCTCTATTTATTGCAAATATTTTCTAAAAACCTAGCACTTATGTTTGAAAGTTTGAGTTCAACCATACTTAGATAAATACAAGAAATTTATTTTATTTTTTGTAAACAACATACTTTTAGGAAAGTTCTTTAAAAAATTTCACCCTCTAGTTTTATTTTTTGTTATGAAAGATGATGAGAGCAATGTCACCTACACTCTGATAGTGAAGGCAGGGTTATAGGGTTAAGATATATTATCACTGCCTTTATGCTTTCTTTTTCTGCAAGCATGATTCTGTGTTTCTCACATACCCTAAAATAAGTTCCATAACGAAAAAATAGTAAACCTAAGCCCTAAAACCTCCAGTGCTGTATATCACTCACATATTTCAAAATATTCATTATTAGTCAGTATCAAAATATCTTATAACATAAAAAAGTGACTCGCACTTTTATTACAAGAGTCTTTATCTTCAATTCAGTCTGGTGATCATTGTACATTACTTTCCAAAACTTAAGCTGGACTGCAGCCTATAAAGCCTGATTATACTGATGATTTTCATTTCATCAGTATAACAACAGTTAGCTAGGGTACTTGTCTTTTGTCTTATTATTGTAATACTTAAAAATACGCATACCTGTTTTAAAAAAAATATGTTCTGCTTTATAAAAATTTGCATTAAAAGTTATAACAACAAAGAAAACATCTATTCAGTCATGAAGGGAAGAAAGAAGTAAGATTTCCAAAACATGTTTTTATGGAATTTTTTCCACTTTTCAATAAAACCAAGAATCAGTATGTAATCAATTATAAAGAATTAATGAAACTGTTATATCCTAACTGGGCATACTGAATGAATAACACTGTACTAGTCTTCAACTATTCAACATGTGATAAATATTTGGTAAAAAGTGTTTAATCAAAACTTCATTAATTAAAATGCTAAAATTCATGATCCTTTCAATTTCTCTATGTTAAAGATTCCTTTTGAGTTAATTCTATTGTTGGATAAAGGAAATTGAGTGAACTGGTAGAGAAACGGGGTTTGACCTGGAAGGGACATGTATGGCAAATGGTGTAACAACAGTTGGCAAGAAAGGCATACAGATAGCAACTGCATGGAATTAAACCAAAAACAAAAGTCAAAATGAAGGAAAGAACAACATAGAGAAGACTAGTCAGAGCAGAAAAGACAGTACCAAACCAGCCGATACATATGACTGAATGAGTAACTAATTAATAATTAGACGTAGATGATCTTATAGACTACTAACCATGAGAACTAGTATTTACTTTAACAACCATAGTTGGAATATCTCTTACACTAAGCTTCAGACAAAATTGGACATATTACTCTAATGTATGTATACTATAAAGACCTTTATTATAAGTTTCAGCTATAGTCACTGGGTTATAGTTCACATAGTTAAAGATCTTTTCCACTCCACTTTCCAAGGGTCTTTGTAATGCTCACCTGTTAAGATACAATTTGTTTTACAGCTATTTATTAATTCCCAACCAAAGTACTTAGCTGGTTAGAGCACCTGCTTCGTCTCACTTTATAATTCTTAAAATGAAGTTTACAGAAATTATATATATAGGGTGGTGATAAATTTATACTTTACAGTTGTGGAGTAATACAAAATTTTGTACTACAAGTCTAGTTGACCTACCTTGGCTGTGGTGAAGGCGTCTGAGATACACCCAGTGTAGTGTTGTTGTTATTGTTTCCAGACTGACCAAAGATTTGGAACTTGGAAGGATTAAGTGTTTGACGACTTCTTGTCATTGGTTGCTTAAGGAAGGTGAAACAGGAATTAAGTACCAGTATGAACCCAGTCATTATATAAGTTAACATTAAAATAACAAATGCATTTAAAGATCAAAATTATTTTAGCATTCATCACCATTACACTACAAGGACACAACATTTCTATAAAACCCACTCTGCTAAGTAACCAACTAAAGAATCAGATAGTATTTTCTTTGTATGTCCAAGTTTGCAATGCAAGATTTTCCAATTATCATTGACAAGTATAGAATTAACTCTCCACTTATCTCTCTCTATTTTTCTGGTACCTGGTAAGAAACAATTTACTTTCAATCACAAGTAATTTTAAAGTAATTTGTCTGTACTGTTGAAACGTTAAAATGCAGTAGCAAGCTACATGTCATTCTGATGCATTTATGACCATTAATAAGAATGTTGCAAAATCATAGGCACTTATTCAGAAAACATTTATATATAAATTCTATTCTCTGCTCATACACTATTTTATAGCTCTTCACCTCATCATGGCAAAAAAGAAAAAATAAGGTGAAGATAGGAAATAAGGAAATACATACCTACATTATTTTAATCCTTTAGAAATAATAAATGTCCATTTCTTATATAAATCTATATCTTTTTTGTCATAAATAAGCTCACAACATTAAAAAAAACGAAAGAAAACAAACATTTCTTTTTGTTTTTCCCTCTTTCTCATACATAAATACACAAACTAAGATTAAAAGGATTAAACTATACAATACCTAATACTTGTGTATTTAAAAACATTTTTACCCCACAGATATAAAGAAATCAATGACTTAAAGAAAATCTTAATTTTTTTATTTCATGTTTCACAGATGTGACAAAAAAACTATAAATTAGTCATAAAAAATTCAATCAGTAAATGTGCACAAAATCACCTAAAAATTATAAAATGTATGTGATTAAATATGCGTTATTCATTACCTATACCTTTTCCACTAAAGCAGAGAGAAATGTTTAATTATGATATAAAACTAAAAGTTCTTTCTCACCTTTTTTGTTGGAGCTCTTAAATCAATTGACTGTTGATCTAGTAATGTTGGTGGAGAAGGGGTAATGTAAGCCAAGGTCCTGTTTCCAGCACTGGCAATAGTTCCTATAGGACTGGGAGTATCCAGTGGTAGAATACCAAAACTGTTAAAATATAAATATATAGTATATATATACATTCATCTAATAACAAGTACAGAAAAATCTAAGGTTAACCTTAATCTAAAAACCATGGTCAAACAAAATTACATTTTCAAGCATGATAAATTTTTACATTTCAGGGATAAAAAACATTTTAAATAGGTATTTATCTCTGAAATACTGAAAGCCTTTCCTTGTTGAATTTTCTCTTATGCTGTATTGATCATGTGACTCAAAGCTCTGAATGTCCTTCACATAATGCAGAGCATGCATCACTTACCAATAAATCTCCATAGTCACACTTACCATGCGATTTATTGTGCATATACCAGGATATCTTACATAAGCTATACTTTCCCAGCATAATTAAGATTTTTAACTTGCAGCTGCAATGGAACACCACGTAAAAATTCAGTTGTGAGGAAATGAGTGGGAAAGTATTTCAGGGGTAGATAACTGTTTGAAGTACATTTTAATCTTAAAAATTCAAATCTGGTAGACTTACCTCTGAAATACTGAAATTCGGAATGACTACACTGAAAAGGAAGATGGAACCAAAAAGAGTTATCATTATACAGAAAAATATATGTTACAAGGCATGAAGATAATAACAGAGACCACTATAAAAATGTGGTCAAGCACAGTCAAAGTAGAATTATGAATTAGAAATATTCAAAAACATTTAATTCAAAGGACCAGCCATATATAAAGAATGGATTTAAGGACTGAGAAAGAAGGATTTTTCCCACTATGGTAACTCTTCACCCTCAACACCCTTTAATTCATACAAAAAATGGGTAAAGTGTTTATCTGTGGAGCCTAAAATGAGAGTACTGGTAAAGGTGTAAACAGGTAAGACCAATACAATGTTCCACTCCTGTAGCAGACAGTTCTTATAAGGAACAGCCAAATCAAAAATGTATGAGTGGACATACTCCTGTGGCTTTAGCCCCACATAATACACATCTAAGAAGGCCAGTAAGTCATGAAATCGGCCAAATCAGTGAGTGCTCAAGTAGAACCTAAGAACAATTAAAGCTGTCCCAAAGATCTGGCTCAACAACTTGAGGGCAGTGCAATGGGAAAAATCAAATTAAATAGAAAAAAAAGAAAAACACAACAAATGTAGATGTTCTACATTCTGTTTCAAGCTATGAGACACCTTTCTGAGGAAGACTTTCCTGTCTCAAATATTTCTAATGTCATGCAAGGAAGTGCAAGAAAAGGTGGGAAAAGTACCACCAACAGCCACCAGATGGCATTCCTAATCCAATTTAATAAAGCACCAGTACAGAGGGTGAAATTCTGTCTTGGACAAATGAAGAAGACATTTGAGAGTTCCAACTACATGAATCCACATAAATACAGAATCTCTTAACAGAAGGAGATATTATCAATTATGTGTATGTGATAAGGAAAAACAAGACAGTAAGAATCTGTGAAAGTCTCAGTTATAATAAAATGTATAAACATAATGCAGAATGTCCTAAGACAGGAGAGACTTTTTTCTTTAATCAAATGATTTTTCAATCTCAAACACCTGTGTAACTGTTGACAGGAGTGTTGGGTACAATAGAAATACCTGGTTCACCACACACAACAAAGGTGTGAGCTCAAGCAATAAATAAGCATAATAGAGAAGTACTCAACTATTATGGATTCCATCAGGCCTGAAGAATAACAAAATGTGGCGAAAGAGAGAAAGGAAGTTGAAAAGAAAAACAATGTACTGGGATTTATTCACATGCTGGCCTGTAAAATGTCCTCTAATGCTTATAGAAACTGGAAAATCAAAGATGTTGCCAAATAGTGAATTTGATTAAACATCTCCTGAATTTCATTTTTAAGGCATGCAGGTACATCATGATAAATAAAACAGATAAGCTACATAAGCCAGTTCATTAGATGGAGCAAAAGTTGTGAAGCAATATTCATCATAAGATGTAAACAACATATTTCTAGCAACTCTAAAATATTCTGTTTGTATAATAGATTTAAAAAATGTCCCTGAAAGGACTATAAAAAACATTCTTTGTAATGATAATCGTAGTCAATCAGGTAAGATAACACAAGTAGTGAAAAAAAGAAAGAAAAAGAGCACGAGAAGTATCGAGAGCATAAATGTCAGATCTTCTTTTACCTGAAGCAAGTAATAGAGGAAGATACATTTTTGATGATAGATGATAGAATGAGCAAGTTATCAAAAGTTCAAAAGTGGGGAAGAAAGGCATCATAAGGCACAATTCCTACTGAAGACAGTGTCTAGGGATCTGAAGATGAAATAAGTGATAGGTTCAAAAAAAGATTATGAAAGACTGGAGACTAAAAGTGGCAGAGTGGGCAGCTCTGCTATGAAGAAGATAAGTTACAATCATGAAACAAGAACATGAAAAATGTTAAGGAACGAGACTAGAAACTGATTTTTCTAATACATCTACTCCTGAAGAAGGACAGACGAAATTGATAGATGGTTACAGATAAATGCCTGCAAGAAAATGACAATATTTGAGCTACTGAAGAAAATAATCCAGTTTCTCTAATAAGTGGTAACATAACAGTTAGCTGTGATGCTTTAGATAATGAATGTTGCTTAAAAAGATGGACATGAGACTGGCAGAGAAAATGTTTCGAAAGATGTAAAGGATTTGTATTCTCTTGAGATATGACATAATAAATGAAAATATGGTTGAACAGAACAGTGAGGAGCAGTGACAATTTGATTAACTGATCCTGACCAATATCCAAGAAAGAAGACAAAAAAAAGGAGGGTAAGTGAAAGAAAAAGTTTATTTCAAAACAGGTTCAAAGCATCCACCACTATAGAAGTGAGGTATGGAACTGGGAACCAATAAAGTAGAATAAGATGAATGTCCACTGTTGCAAATGCATTGATCATAAAGCATTCATATCCTGTTTTTCCAAGTGAAATCAATTGCTTTCAAGCACTTTTCATAACCACAAACATAACTTGCAGGACCAAAATACAATGTCATACTATGATCCACAAACATTAGAAACCAACATGAGTAAAATTTGTGATAAAAATCGTGAAACAGCAGATGATGTTTTTAATCTTAATTTGTCCATACTGGCTTTTGTCATTTAAATTATTATATCATGAAAGAACTATTTTGATACAATTTGTAAAAAAGTAGGTATTATGGTTGAAATGCAGATTTTTAAAAGCAAAGAGTCACCTACAGTGCCTACTGTCTAACATCCATACACCAAGCACATGTGCAATTGTATATAGAATGGTGAATATTTCTCAAGCTAATAAAATAAAATAAAATCACTGTAAAAACATAACACAGAAATAGAAACAAATTTATTTTACCTAGCAATAATTCAAACAAATTCTCTTCATCAGGCTTAATATGCTGACATATCATCTCTTAAATTGCAGCAAAATTCTTGTAGACTTTGAATAAGCCATTTTTGTATGCTTTTATTTTAATGCATTTATCAGTCAATGTTGTGTGAAGTCAAATTTTTCTGAAAACTTTATTACTTCGACTACAATACTACACTTAAGAAGTTTTTCCAACATCTCTAAAGTTATACATTAACATTGTGCATTGTTAAACATTTAGAAACAATGAGAGACTTCTTCACTTAGTCACCTGTCATGAAAATAGAGTATACACTTTTCCAGATGTGTTACACTATTAGGCCTAAGTGTGTTTACAATAATGTTAGAATCTTAAGTGTTGTATCTATTGCTTCCCAGTAACTCAAATACTTTGAAACCTACTGACTGAACCTCATTTTAATTTCATTTAAATATGGATGTATTGATTGAAAAGAAACTTACAGACTAAAGATGGATATTTCATATTTCCTGATCAAGAATTTTTGAGTGATTAAATCAAAGAAAGAGAAGAGTAGCCTGAATTTAATGTCAAACAACATAAGAATTAGAATAATGTCAATTCATTTTGTAAAATAAAACTTTTGATAATTATAACTTTATCTTAGAAAGTCTGAAAACTTTTAAAAAATAGATAAGAAGAAAACTAGAAAATTTGTTTGTTTATGGTACAGCTAATACTTTGTTAGTAAGGCTCTCTACCACCATTCCTAATTTTGAATTACTGACCAACTGATAGTGTGATTAACCATCACATTATAATGCCCCCACAGCTGAAAAAGCAAACACGTTCGGTGATGGGTTTCAATCCTACAGCTATTAGATATGCATATCCAGGGCTTCTTTTACTAAGAGGATTCCAAGAAAGTTTTCAAGTTGCATTAAGTAGAAAACTTGTAATTTGAGCCCATAGTTCTTGTTATATCTGCATTTCAGAAATGTAATGCTGTTATTTTTTTCATTTTATTAAAATTTCATGTGTATATGATGCAGAATTCTGCATAAATGCCATCTGTAAATAAAATGCCACTTGTCTGGCTTTTTTGAGTGAATTTAAAGCAATTTGATGATAACCCTCAAGAATAAACATACAAGTAACTAAACCATTATTATGCACTGACTGCAACCTCACCCACCAGCTCTGGTGAACATAGAATTCACTTGATTGACAAGATGTTGAGCCCATCCAAAACCTAAACAATGTACCAAATTGAGTTAAGTCACGTCCAAAATGTTTGTAGGGCCGGGATTTTTAAAATTGGAATGCAATTAGTGAATTAGCAAAAAGGTACCCCATTGGAAATAAAAATCCATTACTTTCCATGATCCTATAATAAAATGCCAATTTTTAAGGGTATTCCAGGACTGGATTTTGTTTCAAATTTCCAGAACTTTCCAGGTTTTCAAGCACCCATGTGAACCATGTCATAGGACAACCAAGCCATTGACACAACCACTGAAAAGCTGAAAGGTCCACTCAGTAGGGAGAAGTTGATGATCTCTTCACAAATGACAGGCTCAAATATATATATATTTATGTATGACATAATTGAAGATAAACATGAAGAGATACCACAGCAAAACAGAGGATGTCGATTTGAATTACTCCCTTAATGTTGATATGTGCCACCAC